AAAAAAAAAAAAAAAAAAAAAAAAAAAAAAAAAAAAAAAAAAAAAAACTTCAAACCGTTAATATTTCATTTTCAAAATGTCTCCCATCTTTCAAAAGAGTTGAAAAAATATCATTGTCAAAATTAAATTTATTTTATTACTTCAGAAATATTATTTTGTAATTATTTCCAATGGTAAATTGTGTTAATGGTACTTTTTAATTTTCATTCTATTTTTTAAATATAATCTTAACCGTAAATATATTAAAAACTCGAGTAGTTTTTAATACTGACCGTTTTATTTAAAATTTAAAAATATTAAGAAAACTTTATAGATTTTTTTTAGACGAAAGAAATATTTTTGTTAATTTAATTTTTTTTAATGTTGTAGTTATTATTATTTTTTAAATGGCTATATGAAATGTTTGTGAATTAAAGCATAATGATTAAAAGTTTTGACAGCTAAAATAAATTACAAATGGAATTTATATTCAAAAGGTTGGGTTTAAAATTTAACCATTCTCAATTAAGCTCCAATCAACAATTATTTAGTTATAAAAAAAATAATTATTAGTAATTAAAATGTTTGATTGGTCAATTTTAGTCACAATCAATACCAATGTCGTGTAACATTAAAATTAAAAATGATTTTCTTTTCCAAAACGTTAAGACTTTTTGTAAAATAAAAAATTGAAAATTCTGGAATTTTTTAGAGGAAAATAAAAAAAGGATGCGTTTAATTTACGCAAATGGTACAAAAAGGAATTTATTGGGAAAAAATAAATACAAAATTTATTATTATTATTTTTTAATTGGAAGAAAATAAATTAGTCAAAAAAGCCAAATTTTGTGTTTTTATCATTTGACTGAGTGATTGGTGGTTAATTTAGATGTGATATTAGTCAAATCACTAAACTAACAACCAATACTCTCCCCCCTTTCGAATTAATTGTCAACATGCTTTAATTTTTTCTACCGCCCTAATTAACATAGTGTACGAAACTTAGCGATTACAACATATTTAGTTTTCTGATTAACGTGGACTTTCAATTCAACCTTCTATTTTATACGTCATTTAAATTTGACTATTTCTCATAAAAAAACAAAAGTAATGCTTTCAACTCTACGATTTGAACACATTACCTACTCGTCTTGAATTACTTTTAAGAGCGAAAACTATATCCACAAACTAACATAAGTCATTTTAGTATGTCTTGTTTTCAGTGACATATTTTCTTCGACAAGTTATAGGAGGTCACCTAAGATAAGATTGTTTCAAACTGAACACACTTGATTTTAATGTATTTACGATCAAGTCACTAGAAAGAAAAATGAACTATATTGGTATAAGTAAATCTTGTAGGATGAAAGTTCTATAGGAACTCAAAAACAAAGTCAACAAAGACATGAGAGTTTATGCTCAAACTACACAATATATATATCATTTGTGGAGAGTCGTGTTCATCTAACTAATCTAAAATAAAACCCTTTTAAAACACAATATTTACAATTTTTGTAAACCAAAAAGCATCTTTTTATGAATTATTGAATGAAAAAAAAAGGAGAAATCATGAATAAATGAAGAAGAAGAAGTCAATGTCAAAATTATTAAGATAATTATTTATTGAAAGGTTCAAAAAAGTAGATAGAAAAAAAGAAAGAAAGAGAGAGAGGCGACAGGAATGAACGGTAACAGGTCAACCAGACGATGACAGTGTACGCCAATTGTCACGCTTTTAGGAGCGGTGTAATTATTGAACTCATGCAAATTAATTAATTAATTAATTTTATTTTTTTTTATAAAGCATTAAATAAAATCACATATACAACAAGTCAGTGCATCGGAAGGCCCAAAACCGTGAAAATTAATTTTTTTTTTTTTAGTTAAAAAATTAATATTAAATAGACGAACAAAGGGAATATAAGTAGGAAAACAATAGTCTTCTTTGGAATAATTACGTGGCATTCATGCAAAGAGAGGTTTGACTTTTCAGAGAGAGAGAGAAAGAGAGGTTTGACTATTTATTATGACCAAGTGAGTCTGTAGTGGGTGGGGTTTTAACTTCGAAACCATTCCCGGGATAGGGGCAAAACCGGAAGAAATTAATTAAAATTTTGTATTTTAAATCTTATTTACTAAATAATATAAAAACGATAAATAGTTTAATAAATTAAGATGGATTGAATATACATAGAAACCGTACAGAAGTCAAAATCAAAGTTTAACGCCTATAGTAAAAAGGCTCATGGATCACGTACGTGTAGTTTAGAGACGAAAATAAAAGATGGGGAAAAGGTGGATGAAAACAAGGACACAAGACATGACCAAAGTGATTAGACTATGAACAAAAAAAGTGGAATTTGATTTACATTTGGTGGTAGATGGAGGCGTATCTGATGTCAGAGCATGCGTTATCTTTTTTGACTTTGGAACAATGGCCCTACTTTCATTCATAAACTATGCTTTCCTATGTTCTTCGCATTTTTCCAAACTTTATAATTCATTCATTTGTTACCAATAACTTCATCATCATAATTGTTTTTAATGTTCTATTTAGTTTTTAGCTCAATCTAAACGTATAAAAACGTTGTTTCTCACTTATACACGTATGATATTCCCTTATTTATGAAATATGAGGGACTGGTCACGTTCTAATGTGGATTATGTTGCAAATATTGTGCCACTTGAGTACATGAGATGTATATCAACTAATTAAGACCATATCTTAATCATAACGGTCCTGTAACAACCCAAGTCTATTGGTTGTTTCTTTCGTGATTTTAAAATGCATTTAATAGGGAGAGGTTTCCACACCCTTATAAGAAATGTTTTGTTTATCTCTCCAATGACCAACTGCCCATCCTACCTCCTTTACGTTCTTGACAGCCCATCTTTGTCTCAGTAGAGTCTTTCAGTGGCATGTTTCGGTCCTCTTCCCCATTACTTAGAAAAAGTGAGCCACCGGTTCAGGTACAAGATACTATCCTTACCGCCTGGACAATTAGACATCTAACCCGTAATCGCAACGACCCAATTGCAAGAGCGAAGCTCTACCAACTGAGCTATATCCCCTCGAGCCAAGTGGGGCCTGCATGAAGGAGTCAGATGCTTCTTCTATTCTTTTATTCTTTTCCTTGGCGTAGCTGGGCCATCCTGGACTTGAACCAGAGACCTCGCCCGTGAAGTAAATCATCGCACCTACGGTCCAACCAATTGGGAGAGAATCAATAGATTCCTTTTCGAGAGCGATTCATCCTTCCCGATCGCAGCATACAACTCTCCGTTGTACTGCGCTCTCCAAGTGTGCTTGTTCCCCCCTTCTTCCTTACCATGGCAAGTCTTTGTGAAATAACTCCAATGAGAAGAAAAAAGTCTTTGTGAATCCATATTTCAAATCCTATAAATTATATGCTAATTATTTATAATTTTGAACTAATTAATCACAATAAAATTGAACATTAAAAGAGTTTTAAGTGTGTTGGGAAAAGGAAACACAAAGGCGATGACGTGGACGAATAAGATAGCGAAGGTGGGCCAAATAGGAGAAATTAGATCGCGTTGGGACCTCCCATGGATCGAAGCAATCAGGGAAGCGTTGGAAGAAAGCGAAAAAGTTCAAATACCCCACAAAATAATAATAATAATTAATAATAATTAATAAATAATCAATAATCAATAATAAACAATTATATAACAATAATAAATATATAAATAAATTGAAGGTGACAAGTCGCAGACAATAGCAATCATTAGTACGGTCCCCTTCCTTTCTTATTTATATGTTCGCCAATTTTTATAATTCTCGCAATTTATTTTTCCATTTTCCTTTTTCTTTAACGAATTTTGAAACACATCATAATTAAAATCAACCTATTAAATAAGAAAATAATTAATATTTCAATACTAATTACTAAATATTTTATTACTTTGAATTAGAACAAAGAAATAATTTTTTTTTTGTAATTAATTGAATTAGGTAGAATTTAATAATTAAATGTATACGTCTATCGAAATGACACGTCTATTAAAAAAGTTATTATAGCTAGTAGTTATGGGTAGGTAGCAAGGTGGATGTATTAGGTTATTTTGGAATGTCATGAATAATTCTATCATCAACTAATTATATTCGTTGCAAAAATTTAGTTTAATTATTACTATGTATTATTATTTTATTGCATATGCTCTAATAAATTCATAAATTATTGGTTGCTTTTTTTTTTTCTCGTTCACTGCTTATATAATTAGTAACTTATACGAGTCGATAACTTAAAAAATTTAAGTATATTATGATTTCATTATTTAAATATTACGCGATGAATTAATTAAAAGTAAGAATAGAATAGTTTTAGGTTAAAAGGAACTATCATGTCAATACCAAGACATGAAAAGAATCAATTTTAAATGAGCAAAAAATTAATCTCTACAACGAAAAATTCGTGTTAAAAATCACTTATAGTCCTCGATTTTGATGTAAGTTAGACTTGTATTTTTACTTTTGTAACGATTTGTAATAGTCTAAACTCACCGTTAACAGATATTATCCGTTTTGACTCATTATATATCGCCGTCAGCCTCACAGTTTTAAAGTGCATCGACTATAGAGAAGATTTCATACCCTTATAATGAATTTTTCGTTCGCTTCTTCAACCAATGTAAGATCTTACATGGTTAAGATTTAATGAAATCTCTCGCCGTAAACTAATCAATAAGATAGGTAGTATAAATCATTTATTAATAATATTGGGCATTTAATCTTATAGAATTTTTGTAGGGTAAAGATTAACTCGTACAAATTTTTTATAAGTGCAAAAATTAAATTATTAGAAATAAGAAAATAAAACTTACACTGGTAAAAAGTAAAAATTTGAAAAAGGAGGATTGACGGACAGCGCAAAACTTTTACCCGAACAAGTACAAAGACAGTAAAGTAAAAATAGTGGGGTGAAAATAAAACAGCAGAAACGCGTGCAAATGACAGAGTGTCAATATTAATGATTGCATTTCATTGGTCCAATCAATTATTATTCAAAATCATTCGGATCTCCCCGGTCCCACCCCACCCCTCCCTTCAATTTTAAACCACACGCTCGCACGTGCCAATCCATACCCTTATTTAATTTTAAATATATTCATAAAATTAAAATAAAACAAATGAACATATAAATAATATTGAAAGTTGGTGGTGGGCCCCAGTCCTACCGCCAAACCGACAAAGAAACATTACCTTCAGATCATACGCCTTGTTTGGGTCGTTGCAGTATATCATGTGTACGGTCGTGGATACGCTTTTTATTCATTGCACGTGCCAGCCATTTCTCTTGGGCCTCCAGTTTCCCGCTAATTTGGGCTGGGCCTTTTGCACCCACCGAAGGACTTATTGGGCCGAGCCCAGTCAACTGTGCACGTTGACCTTCAGCTTCAATTCCCCCACGCCTTCCGGGAAATATGGTCCACCACTGTGAAGAACATCCGGCCAGTAAAAAGAGGTGATACAGTGCCTGAAACTGTAAACAAGGAACAAAAATGGCATGTTGCTGCTGCTGCTGTGGTCAATGCTCTGAAAACAATGGGCCCTGCAATCACCAACACTTTGTGAACACAGCCACCTCTAATCTACAATAGATTTGCAAGAAACATTTGAAAATAATGAAGAACAGCTTCCAAGAAACATTTGAAGACAGAAGGATTGAGATAATAATATCAACAGAAGAACAGATATAGAACAAACTTCATACATAAGGGGGTTAGCTAGCTCTGTACACACTACACTGAAATGGTATCTATTTCTAATTCAAAAAAGATCCTAAAACTTCTCATCTCATTCATTCCCAATGTGATTAGTGATCTTCTTCTTGCAGCCATGGCCGATGCAACCGTTATCAGAGGCGTTTTCGGACACTGCGGTTTCGTCTTTGTTGTTATTGTCCATGAGACAGCCTTCAGTTTCCAAGAATTGAACTCTTCTTCTTAGCTCTTCCAGCTCTCTTTCCATGAAGAATACCCTTTCCTTCAATGTCAAATTCTCCTCCTGAAGCTGGGCTATGTGAGAATCTTGATCATCTACTCTACTCTCCAAAACGCTGCTCTGTTCTTCACCACCAGAAATTGGGCAGATCATTTCAAATCTACTTAAATCATGATCCAGCCGTCTCTCCACCTCTAAATGTCCTTCCACATCGCTATCACCAGATCCCCCATCTTCTTGTTCTTCTTCGTCTTCATCTGACCTAAGTCTAATCAGACCCTTCATCGAGCCATAGCCGTCAAGACCCCACTCCTCCTTAGCCATATCAACAAGAACTTCCCTTAGAGGCGAAAATATGGGAGTAGGCAACACTGCAGGGGTGACCGGATAAGGCGACACCAACGACGCAATACCGCCGGATCGTTTGGCACGAATTAAAAAGGAAGTGGTATTACGAGGCGCGAAAGGGGGAAAACGGTAGTTACACTTCTTCTTTGGATGAAAACGTCTCGATTTCAACCGATTTTGGTACTGTAATTCGTTCCAATTCGAGGGTTTATAGGCTGATGAAATCGAGCCTTTTCGCCTCATATCAAACCATCTCCCCTTCCTGAGACATCGGCCTTGATTCGAAGTAGGAGCAGTGGAGAGTAATCTCTGGGAGCCGTGAAGAAACATACCTCGATTCTCCAGCGGTAGAACTGGAGGCAAATTTGGAGGATGAATCCAAACGACAGAGTTTTGATTCATCAAGATCTGTGTATGATCCATATCATTCATCTAACCAAAGCAAAATCAAATTTCCGAAACCCCAATCACAGAAACAAGAACACATTCAAAAAAACAAAAGAGAAACCGCTAATTCAAACACGGAACAATAACGTACAGAAGGAAATTAGGACATTCGAGTTGCAACCATGGACAATCCAACCGTTGAAATTCAAATCCTGGAAACCCTAGAAATCGAAAGCAGAGATGTTTGTGAGTAGTTGGGAACAATTAGTAATGAATCTGAATGTTTGTGGAAGAAATCGAAGGATTGTGATTATGAAATTGGAGTCTGGAGTGAAGAAAAGGGCTTATAAACACACAGAACTCTTGAGCTTCGTCTATGGCGAAAATGTCGTTTGCGGAACCTCTTTCGATTTTTTTTTCTCTCTCTCTCTCTGAATCGAACAAGATCAATGCCTCAATAATTTGTAATTTATTTTAAATTATTATCCAACTATCGTCACTTCATTCTTTGTTAGTAAATAAAATGTTCATTTTTATCTACACACGTATACCATTTTTTTTTATAAATAAATTGAAACTCCGATAAATAATGAAAATTAACCCATTAAAAAAATATTGCAACAATTACCCTTCCCCTCTTAATCAAAATCCCATGCTAATTTAAATGATTTAAAAAATATTCTCAAATTTATTAAAATAAAAATTACGGGAAACAACCGCCAATTTTAAACAATGAAAACTAATAATGAAATTAATATAAAATAAAACTTAATTTTATGGATTTGAGTGATAGACTTTATGTTTTATTAAATCAAGGAGTTGATTGCAACATTTATTAAAATATAGGAGACTAATAAAATAAATTAAAAGTGTACGTTAATAAAATGGAGGGATGTTTAGTAAAAAAAAAAAAAAATGTTTTATTCGTATGAATTTCGGATAGATTATTATTAGAGATGTGCACGGAGTGGGCAAGTCTCCACTTCGACAACTTATTTCATTCCTCGATCACATGAGAAATTTGCAAGCATATGTTACCGTTCAGTTTCTTACTGCTTATTTTTCTTTTTAAAAAGAATTATTTTAAAATTTTCATTAATATAATTTTTATTTAATATATAAATTTATATATATAATTTTAAAATTTTAAAATTTATAATTTAAATATTAGAACGATAGTTCTAAAATTTAATTATTTTTAATGCGGTCATTAAATATGTTGAAAATATATTTATATTAAGCAAGATGAATGGGAGAATTGGGCGGGGATGGAGAACCGTCTCGGTAGATAACATAGACATATCTAATTATAATACTAATTCTTTGCAAATGAATGGGGTTTCCTTCCAATTCTTTGCAAGAAAAGGAGAAGTTGGTGAATTTAATTGGTCATTGTGTGTTCCGTTGTATGAGCAAAGGAGAGAACGTGTCACATTAGGCATTGGAGTCGCTAATCCCTCGTGAAACGGCATCAGATTGGCGTACAAAGTACCCAAATCGCCAAACATCACTCACCAAACTCAGAAGCCCATCACAGAAAAACATGGCCGAGAAATGGAAGGCGGACGAGCAACTATTCCAGCTTCTTGCCAGTCTTCTTCACCAGGTCATAATTTCCCTCCATTTTCCTCCTCATTCATTCATCCACTTTCGCTTTTATTTCCCTATGTTCATTTCATTTGCTGCCATTTACCTTCTTCTTGTTTCTGATTCTTTTCCTGATTGGATTGGTTGTCTATGAATTGGAATTCTTCAGTCCGGACGATGGATCTAACCTCATTCACGAGGAGGAGAACGAAACATTATTTACAAGGGTGTGGAAACCTCTCCCTAATAGATGCATTTTAAAAATGTTGAGGAAAAATTTCAAAGGCGGGCAATATTGTTAACAGTGGGCTTGAACCGTTACATTGTAGATTTACACTAGAGTTGGGTTGGGAAAGGCTGGGAATAGGTAACTTAGGGAGATGAACATAATATCTGATGAAGAAGCCACGACCCTCCACAGATATTGTCCACCTTTTAGTCTAAGCTCTCATAAAAATAGTGTTCCTTATTTATAAACTCATGCTCTTCTTCTTAATTAGTCAATGTAGGACTAATTCTTTCAATAATCCTCGTCAGAAATACCTGCTCGGACATATCCATCCATGCCAGGAAATTTTGTGAACTTCTCTGCTCTTTTCTTTCCTAAGATGCAATTATCTTGCAGGTGGAATCACTGACCAACCAGGAGGAAGTTGAGCTTCGTATGAAGATCGAAGCCCTTGGACTTGAAGTAACAAAAGTACCCTCAAAGTCCTTAAAGCAGCTCGATGAAGTCCGTCTGGTTTCCTTCATACACTCATTGCATTTATCAACATTTTCTTGAAGAGATTGAATCTAATGTCTAAAAAGTCAATTTCCTATTTATTCAGATGGAACTTGCGAAGGAGTTGGATAAGTTATCTGAAAAGCTAGACGATGTGGATGAAATGATTTCTTCAGCAATGGCTGCTGACCCACAGGTGCAGTCTCTTTTGAGTCATACTGCTGATATTTGGATGCCGGTGATAACTGCTTCCACTGATGACCGGCGGAAGTTTACAGCTTCAGCTGGAGAAAATTCAGAAACAGAAAAGAATTGTGCTAGTTAGACATATATAATATATATACACTTTTTCTTTTGGTTTATTTAAGGGCCAAGTAAAGTAATTTAAATTCTCTATCACAATTTTGTTATATTCCATAAAGGAATGTGTTCTACCACTGTTTGGAATGTAATTTCTCCAACGGATAATATATTTTGCCACCTTGTTCTGTAGAAATCCTTCATCATTGTCCAAGTATAGTACCATTTAGTTCTTGTTCCCTTTGCCATTAGATTTTAATCTGGATGGGAATAAGAATGATGGTAACGACTCTAGAAAATGACATATAAAGAAAGAAGATTCAACTAGATTACTACAAAATGAGTCAATGTACATTTAGTACTTAAGTCTTACCAAATCAACTGCCTATATTCAGGTCCTTCCCCCAAAACTAAACATAATTGAGAGGAAACTAAACATGAAATTTTGCCAATAATGCAACACTACTTTGTTGAGATCAACTTGACGACTAGAGCTATAAGGGTTGTGACAGAGGAACTGACTATCCAAAGGACGAGGGAAAAGACAAAAAATCCAGCCAAAATGGTAAGAAATGGAGGACCTTGGGCATCACCAGTTACTTTACTTCCATCATTTTCCTCCTTGGTGGAATTCCCATCTGAGGAATTTGATGCTGTTATAGAAAAAGATCTTTGCCTCAATTTCAATCCTTTGGTGTTCTTGTACCTGCATAAAAGAAAGCACACAACCACTCAGCTGAGTAGCAATATTGTGATTACAAGTATCAGTCATCTCAGACTAGTTGTGTTCTAATTTCTGGCAGATGCAAGGAGGATCTCAGCTACTGATTTAGTTTTATATAAGTATATGATGTCTTTGTGAGGAAAGAGTTGAAGTAAATGAAAGTCTAAACCGACAAAATACCATAAAGATCGAACCATGAATGATAGGAAACAGTATGCACCAATACTTCCAGAAAGTTTGAAAGAGGAAACTCCAAATTAATTGTTGAGTCAACTGACAACTTGAGAAGACGATAGAATTCAAATTAATTGTTGTAAGATTTAAACCATTTATTATTACTGTGGTTCTTCCAACAGCTGTTATTCATCTAAAAAGTCTAAATTTTTTTTCGAAGAAATTATAGAGGCCATTCCAGAATTATCATTTTCTGGCAATCTTAAATGTAACTACTTCACAATCAGAGAAGAGCTTTCAGAAAGAACTAATAAACTTTCCCCAGTCGCATCCGGAAGCCAGAAAGTATCAAATCAAAGATTCATCCTATTTCAACTTGGAATTGGAAGAAAACCAGAAAAATAAAGCCAAAATCCTAATGCTAGTATGAGTTCCTTGCCGGAGTAGCATAGCGAAAACCAATTAAGATTCAGTGTTTTACTACCTGCCAAATTCCATTTCCATCACAAGAATCAAGGTGGATTCACTTTACAGAACTAAGCAACAGATGAACTTCCATGTTAACATGCTCATTGCAAGGGTAACAGTCCAGATATCTTCTGAAATAATTGTGCCTAATGCGAGGGATCGTAGAGGACTGCTGAAGTAGGTATCAACCCAAAGGTGCATTACATTACACGCAAACTAATAAAAATTCAGAAAAACAAAACAAAACATAATACTAGTTTATAAGCACCTGGCGTTAGTAGCAAAAAAGAATTAGGAATTAGCAACAACCTGCCGGATTCCATTATCAAATATCAACAAAAGAATCAAAGTCGAACTACTTCACAGAACTAACAGATGAACTTCATTACTAAATTGATCACTAGTCTCATTAACAATATACAACAGACCTGATATCTACTGAGATTAAATAAGTCGAATGCGAGGGATCGAAGAGGAGTGATTAAACTAAGGATACCTGAAAGAAGGAATTGGAAAGCCATTCCGATGAAATTTAACGCCGACGATGGAAGGAAGAAAGGCTTTGTGATCCAAACTTGGGCGGTGAGAAGAGAGGACCAGTTGAGACGGCGGCGCGGCGAAGACGGAAGCCATTCACCTTCAGTCTTGTTACAATGACTTCGTCAACTTCGGACGAGGAAAGTTCGCACGAGATGCTGCACGGAGGGTGTGGATGATCCATTCATAATTCACGTTTTTTTTTTTGTTATCTACTTAGAAGAATATTCTATTTTATTATCTTTTTATATATATCTAAATTAGTTATATGGTAATTCAATTTTTTTTAATCTTTTATGACTTCTCATTAATTATTGTGAGGACATGAGAGTTTAATAATAGTGTCTAAATTCAAAAAAAAAAATAAAAAAAAAATGATGGGTTAATAAAAAAAATAAATATATATTTACTGCTAAAAAGTTTCCTATAATTATAGTAAATTGTTGAACTATATATATTCATATAGTTTAGTTTCTTATATATAATATTTAGTATATTGACAAATATTTAGTATATTTTATTTCATTGTCAATATTTAATGCTTGTATCCTAAAGTTATGAATATGAATGAGAATACCGATCCCAATTCGATTTCCCAACCCTTATTTTTTACTTAATCCTTGATCATTAAGTAGTTGCAAGAAGTTACCATTTGGAAATATTATTATTTGCCCCCGTTAAATTTAGATATATTATTCATAATTTTCCCATATAAAAAATATGTTTTAAACTTTATTGCTAAGTTACGTACATAGGCTTGAGGACAGTATGAAGGGGCTTTTAAAAAGTAATTAAAAAAAGTTTTAACACTTCGAAATCATTCTAAATTTACGTTGAAATGTCTCATACAAGGTAAAGTGCAGCCGAATCTCAGCTCCTAATGGGGGTATAGATTAACATTCAAGCCATGCCAACCGTTTTATTCAAATGGCATCCCGACCAATTCCTCTCCTGAACAATGCACTTCTAACAGCTACTATATGAAACCGAATGAATGAAAAATTTGCCAAGAAACTCGGGCGAGTTTAAGAAATAAGTGATTCCAAAATCTACTTATCCCCAAAAGTAACTTCAGGTAATCCTGTATCTGCGCGGTAAACCAAGCTTGAACAATTATTAAAACTAGCAAATGACAAGAAATCTCTCACCCTCGACCAATTTGTGAAGGCTGAATGAACTATTTTTGGACACCCACTTTCAATCAAGCTGCTGCTTTCTTGCAGTGGTCCTCGAGCCATTTCAATGTCACGCTCTTCGGCCTCTCGAGTGGCAACCCCAGAGCTCGGTCCCATATTAACTGAAGCCAGAACATGTAGTAAATCTTTAAGAATTTGGTAAAATTAAGAAGAATTGAGAATGAATGTACAAAAAACAAAAAAGACAAACCTGAGAACATATCCCAATACTCCTTGAAACACCGAAGAGAACAGTAAAGTACCTGTGCATAGTCGATGAAAGTTATAGTTATCGTTTAGTTAAAGGTAAACATCAATGTGTATTAATTGAATCGCATTCTACCTTGCTTCGGTCAAACCAAAGTAGTTCAACAGCACACCACTATGAGCATCAACATTAGGCCATGGGTTTTTAACCTGCAAACGAGGAAAATGCCACAAGAGGAGACAACTATGTAAAAGATTCATGGGTGACGTTCGTGAGCATCAACAATTCATGGTATAGTTTCATGTACTTGATCAAATATACTGTGTTCGACTCAAAAGTCAAGTTACATATTGTGCTCGATCTTGGACATTTAGTACAAACATAGACCATTTAATTCATTTTATGAAGGGAGAGAATCAGTTTCATGGAATCTATATGTTTGGTAGACAGCCGAAATTATCACAAGAAGAATTTAATACTACTGAAACTCCCCCACCCGAGTTGAGAAATGAACCCACAAATGCTAGCAGAAATGACTAACAACAGAAGATAAGGAGCATGCACAATTGAGCTAGTTATAGAGAAGGAAGCTCATCTTGCCTTGCCAAGTTCTGTTAGGATGGGTGGCACGACTTCGTAGAGCTTTGATACCTGCAAAATCCCATGCTAGGTTATTGTGTGAGCAATTTACGGCTTAAGTAAACCAAAGGGGATTTATACAGTGCGTGTGTATGAATGCTTGTGTGTGAGTCTACAATCAGGGAGAAAATGACAACCAGCTGAAAAAGAGGATCGTCTGGCAAATGCTTCAATGCAAACTCTCTCTGACAAGTATATCTTGGATCTGTTTTACGCAGAACTCCGTGACCAAATCCTGGAACAACCTACGATTAAAAAGAATGATAAGGAGTTGATGAAAATTCCACAAATGAATATGTAACCATAAATCCGTAAAGGACGTCTCCTCTTCCTATAGTGATAAGACCCGAAATACATTGGAGTTCATGAAAACGGGGAAAAAATATCTCCCAGAAAAAATAAACCACTATGACTGAAATGCTTGAAGGCTAAAACAGTACAGTTACTGATACTAGCTATATATAAGCGAGGATGAAGGTATATTAAGTATAAGCTCCATGCCTGACATTTCTAGCCAGAATGGATTTATGTTGTTACCTTGCCACTGTTTAGAGTTTTCCAAACATAGTCTTTCAACTGCTCCTTAGTTATGTTCTCTCCACACTCGTCCACTACAGATTTGATCCAAAGTAAAACTTCCTGCAAGCAGTGGGAAATAAGCAACAATAATTGGCAGTCTTTTTATGTTGATAAGAAGCATAGAGCAAACATTTGCTATGTATATTCATGTCATAAAGTTAATGGGAGTTTGTTTAAGGCTAACGCTCAAACATTACTTGGTTTCAAATCTACAGTCCTAAAATGAACAAAACAAGTGCTATGTACTATTAGACTGTTATCAGTTATGATGAGTAAACCAAATAATTATCTCAATCCCTTTCACTTATCTATTAATTTCTATTTTACACTTTTTAGATAAATTGAAAGTCAATGAATTGAGGGGGAAAATAGTAGTAAGAATGAAATCCATCAATAAAATGAGAGAGTTACAAATGATAATTACGTACTTATTAAAAGTTCAAACCAAATAGAGGAAAAGGAGTAGCTATTAGAAAACAGTCTATCACACACCTGATTTGCCAAACCATGTAATGGTCCAGCCAATCCGTTTAGAGCAGCAGCAAACGAAAGATAGGGATCTGAAAGTGCACTAGCAACCTGCATAAAAGTATTAAATAACTAAGAGAATGACACAGTCATGAATTTGATGTGCAGAAACATTACATTGACAGCTACGCTTGAAAAAGTCATGTTTCAATCAATGTACAGCAGAAGATCAGACTAAGGAAACGATACTATAAAATACTAAAGAGAAAAGAAAACACACAATTCAATTGAAATCTGAGAAGAAAGATAACTTACGAGGTGGCCTGTGTGAGCGCTGACATTCCCTCCTTCATGATCACTGCAGGTCATTTTTTACACAAACATTAGATGTTATTTGATTATTCTCTCTTAAATTAAAATACTTTAAATCCGGTGGAAATGAACAACATATACTTACGTATGGATAGTAACATAGAGCCTCATGAGTTCTTGCATTTGGGGACTATCAAATCCTAACATGTGCGAAAAATTGCCACCATAATCCAGAGAGTCATCTTTTGGAATTATATGCCCATCCTTGTATATCCTTCAAATATGATTAGAAGGAAGTCCAAATTAATCCAACAACGAAACAAGGAGGAGACAGCAAGAAGGGGTCAGAATATTTTAAATATGCAACGGCAAGTGACACAATTAGTTTCATACAATCAACAAATATATAATTAGAGTGATCTACCAACCTGCGGTAGACATAAGAAGCTACCAAAGGTACTCGAGCAATCAAATTCATAGAATCTTCATACGTTGGTTCCCAGTACCTATAAAATTAAATAGCTTTCAGTACTTGAGAAAATACGAAGACTGAATCTTGAATGCACGAACTTTACTTTGATTTATGAATTCCTTTCTCATAAGCCTTCTGGAATTCACTTTGAACCTGAAGGAAAGTACAAGTAGACACCTTAAAAGACAGCTAACAACATTGCACCTAGATAATTAATTACGTTTCCAATAAACTAAACTTTTTCTCAATATAATCCAACAAACTAAATTCAGCAGTACAGGGTTTATAAAATTGGATCCAAGCATAAAACGCTGTGTTTTGATCAAAATAAACAAACGAGAAGTTGGATGCTAAAAAGTATTTATGGAAGTCAAATATGAAATTTCCAAATTGATCCAAGTATCCATACAAAAACCTTTCACGTAAAGTTGACAAAGAAAATCATCACCTCATCTAGGGCGTGATAAATAGAGAACTCATTACTAACCTGAAGACCCATAACACCTGTGGCAAACTGAGTCATCGGATGAGATGTAACGGGAAGAGCATCGATGGCCTTGTATACATAATCTGCAACCAGAAATGACAAAAACCCACCATTTAGGAAAATGTCTGCTGGAGCAGAAGAGGCTTCCGGAAGTCATATATAATCAAATATGCTCATGCAACAATCATGAACAAGCTGAACCTGGAACAACAGCTCGGCTTTGTAACTCCTTGGATAGTGCATCTACTTGCTCTTTGCTTGGTACCTGATATATAAAAGAATAAATGATGATGTTTTTGGAAGTATAAAGCAAAATACTGCCTACAAGGAGAAGTAGGTTTATTCTATCAGCTACATGCCTGATGCCTCTATAGCACTGATATAATTACCAAAAGATCAAACGAATGGACAAGTTTTTGGCAACTCACCTTTCCTGTCAGAAGAAGCCACAGGAGACCCTCAGGTAGTGGCTCTCCATCAGGCTTTGCAGCTGGTAGTAATTTTTGACATTCAGGAATTGATAAACCCCTAAAGCGAATACCCTGGAAATATAATACACCAAATCCATTACTATACTAAAACCAGCATTCATCCAGTTCATATAGACCAGAGATAACCATGAATGTCGAGCACAGAAACCTTAACAAATGACATTTAAAGACCAAAACAATTCACTGGGTATTAACCAAAAGGATTCTAAACCTCGTCAGGGTCAAGTAGAGATGTTTCCCATAGTAGCCCTGTCATTCCTCTCATTCCACCAAGTACCTTCACAATGTTCGAGACAAGGCATTTATTAAGAGATGTAAAGAAAATGCTAGCAGAAAAGATAAGAGATTATTTTTCATAAGAGCTCCCTGGAACGAATTTATCACATGGGACTAAATGACACCGATGTTAGAGAGCAGCAAAATATAGAATAGTTCAGCAAATATACTTACCATATCAACAGTGATGTTGCCCAGTTGAACCTTTCCATGTTCTGCTTTGAATTTCTTCAGACGATCCTATAATCATTAAACATATTATGAATATATATAAATGAAATATATAATTAGCGGGGAAAATTAGGTCAAGGTCGGCAGTAAATGCATTGAATCAATTAGTCACACTCTTGTAGACTTATAATAACTTTCAACCAAACTGGATACAGGAAAAAAGCATCTAAAGTAATCTCCTGATGAATTTATGTCAAAAACATGCATCCCATTTCAGTGAAGTGGTCATACTCAATGAAAGGCAGATGAGTGAATCAACTTGGACGTCAGTGTAAAACTTTAAAGAATAAGAACGAAGGCCTTCGTATTTATTGTGGGAGTGCTATGCTAAATAATTATTAAATGAATACTGTTAGGATAACCAAACCTGCTGTTCTGGAATTAATTCCCTCAAATGAGATTGTAGGTCCTGCACGACAAACCGAACTTATAAGCGAAATCACTTATTGGATAGAAGTAATCATTCCATCTGTTAGGTAACTGACTACTCAATTGCCAAAGATCAACCAATTGGAAATATGCACGTAGACTTAATGTCAACAGTTATCAACTCTGGCTAGCAGGGAATTGTAGCCGTCACAGTCCGATTTAAACAATTCATAAATGTTAGATCTACCCCAAAATGAAGTCTCAAAGCTTTAAAACGGTAGTCTACCCAAACAAGATTGAAGAATAAAGATTAATGCGAGTGGAGAATATTACAAGATCCGGTGAGCTCTGCATTTGAAGCCATCTAACAGAATTACTGAGATTAGACTGCTGTCCCTGAAGCATCGAGGAAATTTCCAGATCGTTAAAACCTTTACAGTCAAAATAACTAACAAATTACCAACAACATGAAGAATCCCGAGACAATATACTCACAACACGAGACCGTAGCTTTGAAAGAGCCGTCAAACTTTTGAAGAACGCCATTACTCTCAAAATTCCTTATCTGCTTAGTAGATATACACAACTTGCTAAATACATAGATCACTGAGCTCTAAAAAAACAGGAAGAACAAGAAAAATACTAAACGTACAATAAGAAATGGAAATTAAAAAATCAGACAAGATGTTGAGTAATATACGAATATAGAAGATGAACGAACATCATCGGAGTTATCAACAGGTAAAAGAGAAAACGAAGATATGAATCAAACGGGAATCAAGTGCTGGAAATTGAAACGTACAGGAAAGTCGGAAAAAACCACGACGCTGCACGCAAATCGATTTGTGTGGATTTGAATTGAGAATCCGAGAACTGACGAGCTTCGCGGTTCTCTTCTTTATTCCCAGAGGAAATCAAATGAGGAATTGGAGTGAAATTTCTTCATTTGCCTTCTTGAGCCCGCAGGTTCTGTCGTAATGCCTGAGGTGGGCGACCACATTCCGAAAATACCCTCGCTTCTGATTCCATTTACCAAAAAGTTGTTTCAAATAATAGATAAAAAATACTTTTTTTTTTAATAATATTCATAAAGTTTCAAAAAAAATCTCAAATTACCCTTAAAATTAAGAAAATTAAAAAAAAAAACATTAATGCTTTATTTAAAAAATAATTTGAATTTTGAACGTTTTTTTTTAAAAGAAAAATTAAAATACCTTTAATTTTTTTAAAAAAATTCGGAAATATCTTTACTATTAGCATCACATTTAAAAATTACTTACAACCTTTCCAAAGTAATATTAAAAGTTAAAATAATTTATGATAGGTTGATAGACGAGTTTCGTACATATATTGACGTAAGAAAATTTTTAACTTTTTTCTAATAAAGGTAAATGGTGTTAATGTTATTTTTAAATTTTAATAATTATTTCTTATTACTATTGATAAAATTTAATTTTTTTTTAAAAAGTTGAAGGGTATTAATGAATCTTTTTTAAGTTTAGGATATTTTTTTAATAAAATATTAATGTATTTCATCTAAAATTAACAATAATATTTTTTTTAAGTTAAAAGGTATTATTAAAACCTTTAAAAATTTAAGAATTTTTTTTAAACCAGAGATATATTTTTATTGATTTAGAAAATTATAAGTTTTATATTTATGAAAAAATTTAATGTAATGTTATATAGGTTGAATTTTCTTTTTTTTTTTAAAAAAAAAAAGAATTTAAAGTGTTTTGGATGGTTTGCTTTTTAAAGAAATATTGTAGATATCCCAACCTAATTTTGCTTCTAAACTTTGGAATTTAAAATTAATTGGTAAAACGAAAAAGGAAAGTGCAAAAGTGCATCTTGGTTGATATCATAAGTGTCTATTAACTATTTTTATAAAAACACCAAAAAAAAAAAAAAAAAAAAAAAAAAAAAAAAAAAAAAAAAAAAAAAAAAAAAAAAAAAAAAAAAAAAATC